GGGGGGGGGTAGTTGTAAGAAGTATAACGAGGGGAGTGAATGAATGATGCGCAGATCAGAAAAGAAAAAAATTGTAAAAAAAATTTTTTTCACTACGTGGGGCGCAACGGACTGTCTTTGATCGTTAATAACTCGAGATCGGCAGAGTAGATTTCGCCCATTTTTTATTTTTTTCGAAGTGTTTTTCAGAGCTTTCAAATGAGATTTGAGTCGTCTAAATCGTATCGTTTGGTTGAGAGATATTGGAGATTGAAGGTGGTCCGTTTTACCTCGCGTTCCCATGGGGTAGTGCGCGGTACGCAAAGTTGCACTTTTTTATACGCGTGTGGTAGGAATTTTTTTCGTGAGGTGTAGGGAGTTTACTTTGGGAGGAAGAGGACTTCACGGATCACCTCCGAATTTAACGTATTCTGGGAGGAAAAAAAAGATTTTTGAGGCGTCCGAAAAAGTAGATTTTTGAGGTAGGTAGTGTAAAATGGTAATTTATGCCAGTAAATCCTGAAGACGCGGCTTTCACGCCTCAAGGCAGGTTCTGGGCCCTCGGCTCGGATTATAAACGCAAATTCGATGTCGGAAAATCGTTTTTATGTCGTCGAAACAACATGTCCGTAAAATAACATTTTACGGACGGTGGGATGGAACATTAAGTTCGTCACTTGTCACAAAAATATTCACGTAACCAATCAGATCGCACAATTTTCCCGCCAATTGTATTGGCGCATATAAAATCCGCTTGGGTGTTCGCAAAACTTCACTTTACGGACAGTATGACATAATCTTTTTTTTCAATATTTTTTTCTCGTAAAAAAAGAAAAAAATACTGAAAATGAGAGAGAAAAATTCGAAATTTCGTACTCACTCATGGGAGCTATCTCAACGCTGGTAATTGGCAGCAAGTGGCCTGGCCTGATGTTGTCAATCCCACAAATGGAATTTAATTCGATTTACTCGGTGAATAGAGCCGGCGGCAGCTTCGGTGGATGATTCCACTGGTTATTCCCTGTATTCTCCTCTCCACTGAAACCAACAAAACCCCATAAACGATGAATAATAAAAAAAATATATATAAAAGTTCATTTCCCCTCACTTCCACTACTTTCGCAATTTTTTATTAATAAAAAAAAACCCAGGTTCATCCAATTTGAATGAAACTGGTCCAACTCGATAGCCAGGATTAATGCAGATGAAAAACTCAATATGGCGGCCCATTTTGCCCCATTAACTTGATCATAACCTGTAGAAAATCCATTTGGCCATCAAAACTTTAATCGCCCGTAACTCCTAAACTACCGGGGTAAAACGGGTCGTCTTTTTTTTAATTCGAGGGTAAATTTTGCGAGCTGGCCAATGATCTCACCCTCACCCTCCCCCTCACCTATCATCGGATGAAAATTGACGAATGACGAAATGTCGATGCGGCACAGCATTTGACACAACATGACATAATTTATCCCAGTCATCCCTCGACTCCACTCGACTTTAATATTTTTTCCACGATGTTTTACGATGGTGTGTGGGGCACGTGGGCGGGCCTGAAGATGATTTGAATGGTGGAAGAAGTGTTGGTGGATGAGAAAACAAGAGGAGAAAAAAAAAAGGGAAAAAGAAAATCCCAGCGAAAAGAGAGAATTGAGAGAAACGAGAAGAGTCGACGTGGCGAATTATACTTTCATGAGCCCTCCTCCCCCCCTTGGCTTGAATTTCTAATTAAAGCGTGTGCCGTAACTCTTTATTCCGTGGGATTTTTATCACTATTATCAGTTTGCACTCGATAATCGGTATTTTTCAATTTCGTAAAATCATCGTCTCGTCACAAAAACCCAATTATCTCGAGAACTTCTCGACGAAATTGAGCATTTTTTTTTTTCATTTTGAAAGGGAGAAAATTTCCGATGAAATTGAAAAAAAATGAACCCATTTTGCCCCGGTGGTTGACCAGAAATCAAGGGAAATTGAAAGAGAGCTTGAAAATCGCTGAAAACGACGGGGAAAATTGTCTCGTTAATTTTACAAACTTCCACCGGGGCAAAACGGGTTTGTCTGTAGTGAACGGAATTGGAAATTTTCTCAGCTTTTTAATGACCCCAGGTAGAACGGCGTATGTCCAACAGGAGCCGAGATATCCCCGAAAATGCGAGACGAGAAAAAAATTCGGAAATTGAGGGTTTTGTGTTTCTCGTTGAGTCGATCGGTTTTGCCGTTGTGTTGTATTCAATCGTGTATGTGTGCGAACGACCGGACCGACCAATGCGAAGGCACCAGACTGTGAAGACCTACAACACGGGTACTTGTTGATTTATAGCCCATCCACACCCGCGGGGAGCGGTTCACTTACCTTCAAAAATAAATGTATACCAAATTCTTTTCTATTTTTAAAATGTAAACCTACGGTTTCAACCATTATCATTGCTAAATCAATATCCCAACATTCTGAAAATACCTGCGAGTCAACAAACACATGAATAATCAACACTTGAAAGCGCCCATTAACCGCTTTCAAAACAAAAAAAAATCAATTAACAATTTTTTTGAATTTCAACATTTCAATTTTTACCGAATATCTTCGAAACCACTTAAGATATCTGAATGCAACCTGCCCTCTTATAAAGCCCGGGAAATTCTCCACAAAATAAAAAAAAAATAACCCATTTTGCCCCGCTGCATTTTGAGAAAACCGGGAAAAACGAAATTCCCTCGAAAAACTCCATCCCCCCCAAATGCACCCCTAGCCCCCCTAGACCAGGGTTCGGAATTGGAAATTTCTCTAGCTTTCCAACGAGCCCACCCCTGCCCCCCACCCACCCCCTCCCAACCCCCTTT